CCGTAAACGTTCCATTAGAAAACATGCATAAAAATATTCATTATTTTACTCATTCGGTAGAAAATCACGTCTTCTTCCAGTTTTATACTCGGAGGATGGGTATAATTCGGTTTTCAAAGACTTTTTCAATCCCTGAATGATTTTTAACCCAACCTGCCGTTAGACTTGCATTCAGGTTTTCCAAGCTACAAGCTGCATATTTTCCGCGTACGGAAAACCATACATTTCTCTACGGAATTATGAGGAGACCATATGGAGTTCATAAAATTTAGCAGTGGATTTGAGCCATATTTTTAACTTTACTAGCCATCTTAGTAAATGCAGACACGTGAAATTTTATGAAAGGCCATTTCACGGTATTAAAAAACCTCACAATTCGAAACTTTTTAAAACCGAATTATACACTCCATTCCAGTATAAACATGAAAGAAGACGTAATTTCCTACCAAATGAGTAGAAGAATGGCTGTTTTTATGCATGTCTTCCAAGAAATATAATTGAAGAACCCTTTAAAAGCCTAAGTGTACCCTTTTTTCGAGTATAAAGTGTGAAAACGGCGGGATTGGCTGCCAAGTGAGCTTTTTTTGCAAAGTGTGTTTTAATTTATAAGGGCACCGAAAATCAACGTGAAAAGCTCCTACTACTTGAGTGGTGCGGTTTTCGCAGGTCGAAAAGAAGCGCAGAAGGCGAACAAAAAATAGCATTAATCGAGGCTCACTTCCAAAGTCCTTGGTAGACCATGGAAGAAAAGATCCAGCAGGTTAGCTTGTTCGGATGAGGAAGGTGGAAGATTCAAGCTTCGGACGGTATCTTGAAGGTAGGTAAGAACAGCCGTTTTGCGCTTTAGTGGTGTGACCAGCGAGATAACACAGTGGCATTCGCTAGCTGCCCGCTTTTCAGGCTATTCAGGGTTCATTCGTGCCGACACGTAATTGGCGAAATTTTTTCCTAGCGTGTATGTGTGGGAAAGGTATGATGCATACTGCTTCGATGAACAAAACTAACTTCTCAGAGAAGCACGACTAAATCACGCGGAGAACACTCATGACTGCCTTTTACAATGAAAGTGTAAGTCTGCTACCGTTTGTAATTTACACTAGAAGCCCAATGGAACTGCATGCGCACTTGTAAACACATGCCCTCCGCTAGCAACGCAGAATACTCCTTGGCAGGGGCTCAACGGTAAATCGAAACAGTGGAGAAGTGGTTGCGATTCTGTAGAGGCGAGGAAAGACGTTTGATTGAAGGCAAGTTTGTCACTGGTCAGGAATCAAAGTCTCCAGAAGTGAGACATCCAAGAATGCAATAAATCGTCCGAGACGAAATACGACCACTTTTTTCACATCAGAAACGGTGAAAATAGATATGTGTAGGTAAGTATGACACTTCAGGTGGCTGCTGAACGTTAGTTTGCCCCAGCTCAACCAATTAGCGACAGAATAACTGGATGGGGACCTGGCAGGTATGACTTACAACCAGATGTACAAAAGGTTGCCCTGTCAAGGAAAAAGTAACTACATCGGCGGAGAAGGGGAGGACGCCCCGAGAATAGGTAGGTCTGGGCTTGCCTGCCAGTGTTGCTCAGCGGAAAACTTGACGACCACGGGAAACAAAGAAGGCTGACTGGGTAAAACGGACGTCAGCTTGCCGCCGTAACATCTGACAACTGACGGTTCATGTGACTAGCTTGGGATGACAAGTAAACAACCAGTGAGAAAGGGCAGACTTTGCTGTAAGGTCAACCAAAGGAATGATGCTTGTGGTAGTCATTCTCCGAAAGGGGAACTGTCTGGTACGCCAATCATGGATTAAGCAGTTACGACACTGGATAAGCAAACTACACGCTTAACACGGAGGACAGATTAGGGTTTTCTGGTTGGCAACCAAAATGCGTTACCTTGTTTTTAGACTGAACTTGCTAGGTTTTACCGAGTGCATCAATGACTTGACTCAGTCTCTAAAAATGGTTATTGACGGTAGGCTCGACTCGGAGCGATCCTTCCCCACTACCAAAATCTGCATGCACTTTTGAGTTATCATGATGGTTCGCGAGCGGCAAGGTAAATCGGTTACCTAGGCTGAGGACCACGCCGAAATGGCCGCCAGTGTTACAGCGACTATCACCGGTGTCAAACCAAAACTAGGTCTGATTCATGTGACTGGGGCGCAGACGTGGACGGGGGTCCCGAATACGTTTGTTCAGTCAGTTCAAGCCAGCCCACCCCTATCGGAACACCGTGTGTGGTAAGATGGGGGTGAGGGCGGAGCTGGTTAAGTCCCACTCACTATATGCAAGCCGTCCTCGAAGACCACCGAATAGCCGCCGGCATGGCAGAGGGGGGAACCACGAGACTCGTGTGTCATGAACTAATGGCGCAGGCAACCGGCCCCTGCCTGCATGCTCACACTGTCAACGAAAGTTTTGAACACGGATACGCCTCGTTCGACATCTGTGGGCCCAGCGCGATAGCAACACGACTAACCTTCCCTCTCATCATAAAACACGCCTGGCAATATTAATAAGGACACTCCTACCAAGCGGCAAAACATTACCGCCACTGCCCCTATGTGGACACCGTTGCAGCCGCACTTTTTCGTCACGCATACGCCTGATCGGTCCCTTGCGAATCTATCGTACAGGGACTGGTAAACCAGTACCAATAACCACGATATACATTAGTCACACAGGCCTCACCTGCGTACAATGCCCCGGGAACATCCAAACACCGCATGGGTCTAATTTGCCATATGCGCATCGATGACGGCGATTTCATGGCAGTGTAATCACGACAAACCTACCTCCCCACCCAAAACGCCTGCAATGCCACCACCAACACCACCATCACCACCAGCGTGACCTCCAATAATAGCATTGCCGCACCTCCAGCTCATTAACCAGACAGTCCCCTCCTGTCCTTGCTGCTAGCGCACATTTGGAACTTACGTCTTCTTTAAAGTTTGTACTTGAAGAAGGGGTGTACTTCGGTTTTAGAAACTTTTCCCATTCCCGAATAATTTTGAACCCGACCTGTCGTTACAGTTGCATTCAGGGTATCCAAACTACAACCTCTATATTTACCGTGTACGGGAAATCATACATTTCTATTCGCTTTTAAGAGGCGATCATATATGGCTAAAAAAATTTCGCAGTGGGTTTGGGCTATATAGTAAACTTTACAAACGACCTTAGTAAGTGCGGAGACTCGATGTTTTATGAACGGGCAGTTGACGGTCCTAAAGAACTCATAATTAGAAAGTAAATACGAATTACAACCTTTCTCCAAGTATAAAATTTGAAGAGTGATTTTCTACCAAATGAGTAAAAGACTGAATACTCTTTATGCATGTTTTCTACGAAGTATATTTAAATCTATAAGGGCATTGAAAATAAATGGGAAAAATGAGTACTGCGCACGTAGTCATTTTTACAGTGTAATTTTTACAGAAGTTCGTTCAAAAGCCGGCATCCCGAAGTAACTGAAATATCTTAGCGTTATGCTGCATGGTAATTAATATTACAACTCTACTGAAGTAATCTTTTAGAGTCGAAGACGCATTTCGGCTAACATTTTATAAGTTAGCACACCTACTGCACGTCTGTCACACCCGCTTCACCTGTCCACACTGCCCAGGGACATCCCACCATTGCATAGGCCTGTTCGGCCTTATGCGCCTTCATGAAGACCTGCGGTAAAACACTGCAGAGCATACTCCACCACCACACCCCGTCCCGCCAGCCCGTACACCGCATGAACTTTTCTCCACAACATCCGACACAAGGAAAGGAACATGCAGCGCTCACGCCTGTGTTCTTTTTCGCAACCTGATGCCTAATCAGGTCGTGCGTGGCACACATAGGTCGGTTGTTGCAGCTCTGCTAGCCATTGCACCGGATAACTGACAGGCCCGGGCAGTCAACTGGTGCGCGAGAGAGGAAAGAGGACGACTCTGAGGGACTCGTTCATAGCCTATTTCTCACTAAAGTTAATCTGACGCGCCTCGGGAGTATTACGGAGCGCTAGATGCCGTGGCTTGGGAGGCTACCAACTGGCAGGACAACTCTGTCCAGATGATTAATATCGTGAGTGTATGTGGAGTGACTGACTCGCGGACTAAAAGTCATGCTCAATGACGCCTTCTTAGTGTGGTCTCTATGGCACTCTCGTGAAAGTGAGATGCGAGCCCCCCATTCTGTGAAGACCTGAAGCATTTGTGGGGATCGGGTTGTGTGTGGCACGCGCAGGCGAGCCACCCAACTTTGTCAGCTACTGCGTCCAAGCTCACCTCGGTCGCCTTGATAATGTCCTGCTATCGGAGCCTAGTGGTCGGAGGAGGAGAGTGCGGTGGACGTTGCGCAAGCCTACCTCACTGTAAACTAATTCACACGCAACTCGTCAGTGTTTGGCCTGCTCGGTGGGGGCACCCGGTGGACGTATTCTTAGTGGCCGGTGTGGAAATGTTGATCAAGTGCATTGGAAAACTAGCCACAGAATCAGATAAGCGAAAAACTACTGCAAGCATCGTCGGCTACCGTTATTCCGCTTGTTTCTTTAATTTAAAAATAATACTTCTGTTAGAGACGACTGCACTCGGAGAAATGCAAGCGAGAGTGGAGGGCAATCAAGCGGGCGCATGCGAGGAATAGCAAGCCAATGCTGACCGCAAGCAGAAAGCCCGTGATGAGGAAAAGAAGTTCTTTCATTCAGCACAAGTTGAACATTTTCACAGGGAAAGAAAATCGGCCAAGGAGGATGCAGGCGGACAGTAGGCGGGTAGGGGGGTGTTGTGTAAGGCGTGAGTCTGCTTAATTACATTTTCCTCTGACAGAAGACACAAGTAATCTCACAAACAACATATGTATACGTGTTTGCCCGTCTAGTATGTGCAAATCGTCCACGAAACATATTGACAGTTCACGGCGAGCTAGGAGCCCGGGTGCTCAGGGGAGAGGTCAAGGTAAGGAGAGCGGGTGACGGTTTTTAAGACACACACAGGAAGTCTTAGTTGTCAATAGGGTCGGAGTAGTACATAGCTTTGACTTGTCTCAACTTTTCCAACCAGTCATTGGCATGACCGGCAGGATCCTCCAGGTAGTAGATGCGATTGGGGACGATGATTGAAAATATCTTCGAGTTCCGGACTTCAACACGCAGAAAACTGCTCCAAGGTACCTCGCCCTTGCGGACCATAGTCTCGGGATCGACATAGAAGAGATGCGGGCCCTCAGTCAGCAGGAAGACCCGCTTGCGTGCAAACAAGCCCCGGCGCTTATAGAGAACTCCCTGTTTTATAATTAAACGCCCACGTACGAAGCGGTGAAAAATGTTTTCATTGGCCTGCTTCTTCAAGAGTTCTGCCCTGTCAATTTCCGTAACTTGGCTTGCTGCCAGTTTGAGCTCTTGTGAAAGGAGGTATTTTTGGCCTTCAGTATAGCCCGCAGGGACCTTATCCCAGTCGTTGTGTTCTAACGGTTCCAAGTTGGGTATAAGGGTCGGCGGCTGCTTCTGCATTAAGCTGTCCCACTCAACGCCGGCAAAAAAGGGATGAGATCGAACAGCAGTCGGCCCGCCAGAGGTGGGGCCGCCAAGCCGATCAGACGGAGAAGCCACCAGCAACCGCTGAACAATATCTTTGGCTTCATTGTCAAAGCGCTCAGGAAACACGTAGTCTAAGGCAAGGACTTTCCGAAAAACGTCGAATTCATGGCCATGCTTGTCAGGCCGGAAGGGTGGCCGACCGGACAGCATTTGATATATTACACAGCCGAACGCCCAGTAGTCCATCAGATAGACCAGACCAGTCGGTTTTTTTCCCTTGTCAGGGGAGTCTTCTGACCTGGCAGGAGCTCGGTCTGCCGAGTCCTTCAGTCCACCGGGCGGCTTTTTGTCACACTCATCTTCAGAAGAGGATGCGGAAGAGGAGACGGAGGACGGGGAATCGATTTGCAGCATCTCAGGGCTAACATACTGAGGTGTGCCCGTGAAGGTGGGCGCCTTCACAGAGGGATCATTCAGGATTATGGCTGATCCAAAATCGGCCAGTTTAATGTGCATGTCAAGGGAGAGGAGGACGTTTTCTGGCTTGACATCACGGTGAACAATCGACTGGGAATGGAGGTATTCTAGAGCTAAAAGAAGCTCAGCCGAGTAGAACTGTGTGCCCTCTCGGTTGAAAGACGTAAGTTTGTTGAGGTAGGTGAGTAGGTGACCCCTTTGAGCATACTGTAGCACATAGTAGAGACGATGTTGATCCTGGAAAGTATAGTAGAGACGAATAAGGAGGGGGTGGTTGGTCCGTTTCAGTACTTCCTTTTCCATTAGAACAGAGAGTATGGCCTTATTGCGATAGACGTGTTCCTTTATGACCACCTTTATAGCGTACTCCTTCTGGGTGGAGATTTCTTTGGCCACGTAGACGGTCGAGAAGGAACCGCTGCCTAGTTCGCGGCCAAACTTGAAATCCGACGGCTTTGGTGGCACAGGTGTAGTAGAGGAAGACGAAGGGTGGTTCGTGGTAGCCGCGAGGCTGGCGGGTTGGGCGTTGTTGGAAGTGGTATCTCCTGTGTCTGGAGCCGTTGAAGGCGCGGGTAGGACGGTGGATCGTCCATCGCCGAGACCGCTGCCAATGGATTGCATACGACGGGATCGAACTCCTTGTAGAAACCAAAAACGGCAAGATTTTGGGTTAGAAAACTGTAAAACATTATACATAGTTGGAATCAGTTGAGGCGCCTGGCAGAATGTGATGGGTTATGAAGATCTAATAACCTCGACAAACTCAAGTGTTATCGTGCAACACATGTTTGATATTCTTGGCGTCCGTTTAATTTTTCTGGCCTAATCCCTGTCAAACGCGGTAGAGTGGCTACCATTTTAGTGCAAAATGTCCGAATTTATGGTAATTGCGCAGATTGGAATACTCGACTGGCATTGCTAATGATTTCCGAAAATGAACAAAGGATAAGAATGTTGAGTGGATGTCAAAACCTGGAATGATGGTTAGAGCTGTCTTTAAAGGTGGCTTACAAAACAAGGATTTTTAGCTCAATTCTGCGACCCCCTACACACTCCTTCTTGATCACATTTACGCCAGTACAAAGACGAACTACAAGTCGAGTTTAAAATAGACGATTTCAAAGACCTTGGAGAGAGCATTCTGCCGAATGGGTAGAGTAAAGAAGATAGTGAAATCTGAATCCATGCTGTTCGCAGGGTCTTCACGATCTTTAGAAAGTGTCTATGGAGCAAATGCAACATCATCGCTATAAAAAAATCCTCGTATATCGGATATTCATCCAACCAGTCCTCCTATACGGCTGTAAATGCTGCGTTTGCGTGTAGAAATTGGAGGTGTGAAGACATGACTGCCTGAGGACCATTCTTCGGGCGAAGTAAACAGACTTGGTTTCGAATGAGACGGTCCACACCTGCTGCGACAACATCGTGAGGATATCTCAAGACATACACGAAAGAAGACTGAGGTAGTTTTGGCATGTTGCTTATCGTCCACCTCATTAGGTCGAAATAGCTGTTATCGACCCGGCCCCCTTGCCCACCTGGAGATATTGAGGCGGAGGTAACTGAAAACCCGGCTCGGCACATATCGCCAAGACATAGAAGTGGTTCGTGGACCCTCTGAATTCGACCTCCGTCACTGGGGAGGAATTGGTAGGGTTCTCTAGATCTGATGCCCCTGATAGCTACGGATGGAGATGGACAATTCGCGACATCATCGAGGCCGGCTGGGTCGGGCATGGTCAAGGACGTACCAAATACCAGTACGCAGATTTCCCCGCTTATGATGTGTTGCCCGTCATTGTTGACATTAGTAAACCTCATTGCATTATTTTCGATCGAGTGATGGGGGATATTTCAGACGACTTTTTATGTATTGCATAATGCGATGCCAATGTTGGGAGAGACCGACCTAACCGACTCATTCGCAGGCCGCTCTAACGACGCGCGCGCGCATGCTGTCCTCTCGATCCGCCCACACGGCTTGTGCGCGTTGCGATCGCGCAAGTCACTGACAGGATAGGAGGGGCGCCCGGTCACTCAGATGAGTCAGCAGACAAGTCCACATGCTAACAAGTCGACGGCATGATCTGATTGGCTCAAAGGCAGGCCGGCTTGGGCATTCTACACCTACTTTTTATCGCCAGATTTTGCTGTTAGGAAGCTAGCAATAGACGCGTGTTCTTCACCCCTTGATGTTGAGTCCTCTTTTGGGGATTCGATAGCGGAGGGCTGTAAACCGGGCCACGAGCTAAGCGTTACGGCTTGTACTACTTGTACTTGGTACGACTGCGATCATGCCTGACCTAGCCGGCCTCTACGATATCCCGAACTGTGCCTCTCCACGCGTGACAATCCGCGCCAGATCTGGACAGCCAGGTTTTGAGTTAACCTCCTCTTTGACGACTCCAATGGGGCAACGGTGCCGGATCGAGGGCAGCGACGGCGAGCTCCTGAGGTGGACGATGAAGAACATGCCTAAACCACCTCAACCGCCTTTCTTGGATGGCCTGCGTTATCCTTGTGACGTTGTCGCAGCGAGCGCGGACTCTCATTTGAGACGAAGTAGGTGTACTTCGTTCGAAGGATGGTCATCAGGCAGTGGGTGATCAAATACCTCCAGTTCTCACTCGTCTTCCATGCGCACAGCCCAGCACTCACAACCATAATGAAGGACGGACCAGACAGACGCACAGTACACGCGAATCTTAGTGGCGATGAGAGGTCGCGTCGGATCCATAGGCACTTTCTAAGGCTTGAGAAAACCTGTCGGGCAGCATCAATTCGAGAGAAAATGTCATCCTTACTCTGCTCATTCGGCAGCAGTCTCGCCCCGAAGTATTTAAAACTGTCAACTTCTTCAAGGTGATAGTCCGCAAGCTCGAGAGGTGCCTTCTCCTGGTCAGGGATGCAGCTTGAAAACACTTTAGTTTTCCCATCGTTTATGAATAAACCGACCGATTTAGCGACCTCGTTCATCCGTGACACCAGAGACTGCAGATCACCAAAACTTGGAGCAAGTAAAGCAATATCATGTGCATAGTTTAGATCAGCTAGTCTGTGTCCGGGTGCAAATTCAACACCATCACCTTCGTGTAGGGCCCTCCCGAGAATCCAGTCAATAGCGTAGTTGAACAGAACGGGCGACAGTATACAACTCTGTCAAAAGCCAGACCGAACACCAAACGGTTGGAAAAGAGTGTTGCGGACCAGGACTTGCACGGCGGTGGAGCAATAATAGGCCTTGATCATGGTGGTGATTTTTGGCGGTGCACCATCTAGTGCCATTATCTGCCATAGGGACTCACGATGGACGGAATCGAACGCGGCGGCAAAGTCAGCAAAGCAGACGGCCATCGGTTGCTGATTGCCATGGCGAAATTCGAATGCGCCTTAGTGTGAATACCTGGTCCGCGCATCCACGTTCAGCACGAAACCCGGCTTGGTTGGGCCTCGTCTCAGAGTCACGCACAACCTGAAGTCGCCTAGGAAGGACAATAGAGATCTTCGCAGCAAAGTCGACGAGGCTTATGTCGCAGTAGCTCTCGCACCTTGTCTTATTGAGGATAGGTACAATGATGCCTAAGCTCCAGTCATCGGGATCAACCTCGTTTCTCCACGCTCGTTCAACCACCTCATGGAACCAAGGCGACAGGGTGTCAGCGGGTATACCGTCCCCTCCGGGTGCCTTGTTGTTGCGTAGCTTTCGCACAGCATCGGCGACCTCTCCTTTTGAAGGGGAGTCGCATGGCACTGCATAGGTTAAAGAGGGAAAAAACTCTGCTGCAGAGAAGAGCAAGGGCGTGATGGATTGGGTATCGAGGCTGTGATGGTGCTCGAAGTGCTCACGACAGCGCTCGACTTTGGCCAAGCCGTCAGCAATAAAGCTGTCATTCACGTTGCTAACAGTCACTCAGTGTAAAGGGCTTACCACTAACTTGGAGGATAAGTTTGTAGAGTTTTTGAGTGTTACCAACGTTCGAGGCCTGTTCCACGGAGGTCACTATTTCAGCCCAATATTGCTTCCGGCCGACTTTGTCGCTATCTTTAGAAGTTGGCGGAAGGAATCATAATTACGAAACCTGGCTTGAGCCGTCTGAGCTGACAACTGCAGGGTTCTTCCGCTGATCCAGTCACTGCGGCGTCGCTGGGTGCATCCTAGGCTTTTCTCAGCTGACCCATAGACTGGCGTTTTCAGTGACGACCACTGATTACTGCTTTCTCCGTCAACTCGGGTCGTAAAACAGGACCGGATTGCTCTGCTCGGGGTCTCGGCAGTGCTGGTTTACCGTATCTTTGCGACATAGAGGCGCCTAGGACGTGGCGCGAATGAGAGATGAACTTTCAAGCGTGTACGAACGAGGACATAGTCCGACCCATGGGCGTTACCAGTCTCGGCACCACGCATCGATCTGCTATTGCGAACCCAGCTGCGTAACCTTGAGCTGACTGGTATGTAATCAATCTGACTGGCCGTATGGCTGTCGTTTGAATGCCAGGTCAGCAGACGTCTTTTGAGATGCTGGAAACATGATTTAGTGACAAACAGTCGGTCCTGATCAGCCAAGTTCAGCTACCTCTCGTCATTTTCACATCGGGAATTAAGCCCCAAGCGGCCAATAAGGCGACTGTTTGTGGAGTCGCCAGGTCCAGTCCGGCCATTCAAATCCGCGGCAACAACCAGAAGATCCAGGCGAGGGAGTCTTTCAACTAAAGCTTGCAACCGCGAGTAAAACGCCGCTTAAGCGTGCTGTTTGGTCGCTGAAATTAGTGAGTATACAGAGACGATGGAGATGTTCGTGAAGTGAACCTTCAGTCGCACGTAGGTCCTCCGATTATTGATTAGTTCCCAAGCAAGTAACGCGAGGTCCGCTTGTTGCGAGGACGATATTCACACCGTGTCTACCAGAAGTCGCGCGGGCCGCTGTGGTACAGGGTGAAGTGTGATTCGACTTCAGGAATCTTTATTTCACGAGAGCCTGAGTCAGGAAATCGAGCTTTAGACAGACAGCAGACATCCACGTTGTAGTAATTAAGGCTGCGCGCGGTCAGACTTTGGGTCCGGGGTCCAGGAACGTTAACACATTGCAGTATGCAATAGGGAGAGTCCACCCCGGATTGAGTTGTCCGGATCGCATACAATTCGCCCGCATCACTGGACCAGGGTTGTGGAGCGCGTCAGTTCCCGCAGACGCCCTAACAAGGGTCGTAATACTGTCGGACATATTTTTATGGGGTTTTTTGGAAATTTCGGATACAGGTGTCCCCAACAGCCGCTCGGATTGTTTGTTCGAGATTGTTTCTAGCGTTTTAGCTTAAAAGCTTAACCACAAGGCAGTAGTGGCAGACAAGCTTATTTAACGGTGGTTTATGCTCGCCATGTCACAATGCCGTCATCGTGCTTTGCGGCTTTTTTATAAGGCTTTCAGCGTGCCAGACAGCCCTTCGCACCCTGGTAGCACCGTCACTACTGGTCTGCGACTTTTTATTCGTCAGACCTGGGTCTGCTTATTTCGCAGCTAAGCTTCACTGAAGGTCATTCCAATATCCGCCACCTGCGGACGTGCCGGTTAGCCAGCAGCTACGCTAACGGGCAACCCGTTTTCCCATCTTACGACTAG